TTTCAGTGTCCTGGGGTCATGTAATCGCCTTTTGTGACCTTTTGACAAAATATAAAAATTTTAATCAAGCGTCCCCCCCTTCCCGGTCAGTGGTGTCCCTCTTTACCAATCTGAAAATCTGGTCACCTTAAGAAATGCCCATCTGGGTTCAGTTCCAAGTGGGAAGAAAGACGCCAGAAACATGGAGACTGCTTGGAAAGATGGTTTAATGATGGACCAGATCACATGGTTTGAGGTCCTGGGAAAAAAGGAAGAGATGCTGAGAGTGCCTGGGTTTTATGCCATCTCTGGGCTTTTGAATTCGAACTTGTATTCTGATTGGTTGTCAGACTCCCATGGAGCCATGCAGGGGTAACTTTATAAGTTGTCTGTGTCCCAGGCTTGATTGAGCCTTGCTGGGTGATGATGTAATGACGGGGCTTTGGGCAATTCCTCCTATGCCTCTGCCTGAAGGAGGTAGATCTTTGTTATGTATGTATAATAGTCTGGCCCAGGCCTTAATGGTCCACTGACAGAGAGTGGGTGGTGTGAGTTTCTGCCTCCCTTTTAGGAGAAATATTCCACCCTTTTAATATTTCCTAAAATATTTCACTTTTCTAGGAGAAGGATACCACAACTTGCCACAGAAAAAAGCCATATCTGACTATGAAAATTCCCTTTTCCTCTTTCTGGCTAGTCCTTGTTGAATTTCTCCCGCCCTTTTTTCAATCCATTTAAGCCAGCCAGAATCTTTTATGTAACTCAGGCTCACATTATAAAAAGTGCTTGTAAAACCTGTGTCATGCAGGGCATCCCATAATAGCTACAATTACATTGGAAGAGTTTTAAAGTGCTGGCACATCCGTATCAACGCGCGCGCACTGACGCACAAAACCTTCTGACCTTCGTATGGTTTTCCTTCCTCCATTAACTTTATCCCAAGGGGTAGGAAATGCAATCAGGGTTCTTAATGGGGAAATGTTTCCAACTCCTGGATGAAAAAGACAGAGAGAGAAATTACTTTTTATGAAAGCAAAAAGGGGAGAGGTTGAGCAGGCGCGCGCGAGAGAAAAGGCAGACCTTGGAAACCATCTGATGGAAAATTTTATCTGAAATAAAAGTTGATATGCTGGGGAATTTACCTCTCCCTCCCGCTATTAAAGTCAAGGTTAAGTTCAGGATAATATCATCCATTTCTCATAGTTAAGCTGACACAATCAAACTTCCACCTTATTCTGTCAAATAACCGGAAAGAAAAATTGCAATTCTGGCTGTTTTTTGTTTTTCCTTTCGCAGCTCTGATCTGTAGAAATCTGTGTGTGTTCTCTTTCGCAGCAAGAAGAAATTTCCATGTTTATAAGCGTAATTCTCCCCGATGAGCCCAGCGATAACACACAAGGAAGCGGGTGGGGGGGGGGAGTTAACAGTTTTATTAACATTACTTGCTTGCAAACATCAGTGTGTGGTCTTACCCACATTGGTGCTTTAAAAAAAAAGAGAAGTAAATTAACCTTCAAACATGCTTTCTCCTAAAAGCTGAAAGCTGGCAGTAATTAGATCTAAGGGGGTGAAACATCTTTTCGGAGTTATTGGACAACTGTGGGCACTTTGTACTTACTCAAATTACTTTCATTCCTGCCCTCAAACTATGCTTCAATGTATTTTTTTTTCCTTGCTGGTGTCGGAAGTTATCACCCAGCCCTCTCCCAGAAAAATGAAATATCCTAGGAAATATTGAAAAGGCAGAATATTTCTCTGGATGTGAAAAGGAAGAC